GGTCCATTTGTCTCCTACTGTCTAGGGCAGAGCCCAGAGCCAGCGAGACCCCCAACATGGGAAGGGATGGGAAAAATGTGGGGGGGTGCAGGGCTCAGCTCTACCACCTGCTAATGCAGCTGTTCTCAGGCTCCAGGCATGCCTAGACTAGCAGCCCTCACTCCCTTGTAATCTGTATCTGCCCCTGTGCCCAGCCAGCCCGGTCCTGGCTCAGTCTGTTGCTTGTCTCTCCTCTCTCAAAAAGTGAAAGGGGACACACACCAAGCCCCAGTGCTCCCCCTCTACACTGCAATAGCCATTATTGGAAGAGACCAGCTGACCCTGTAGGTTAACTTCACCTGCACTCGGGGGGAAAAGGGCTGGAACAGTGCACACAGGTACACGTCTTGCCAAAGAAACTGCTCTCGGACAGTCGTCGCTTGGCTGCAGCCTGAGCTAGCTGACGCTGTCTGCAACTGCTGTAAATGCCGGAGTAGATCAGGTTTGCTGGCCATTTGCAAGCTGCATCAAGGCCTGTTGTGCTGCCACGCTGGGCTGCAGGCCGAACTTGTACCTGCTGCAGCTTTTGTTGTGCCATTTCAAGACTGCTTCTATGCCTCATTTGGGGAAAGGGTGTCTGGAAACACCACCCCAGTACACATCTCCACCCTGTTTTCTGAACACAGCAGGTGCATACACACGGTTTGTGTCCAAAGCAGAACTCCTTCCTAGCACCAGCCTTTATTGTTAACATAAACAGCAAAAACAGGAACCTCTGCCTAAGAGTTTTCCGCAACTGGCTTATTATTGCATTTTTCCCTTGCAAGACCCTATAGTCTTTGCCCTGGATCCTTTTTCCCTCCTCAAACCCACCCATCACATCTTATGCTGGAAGCTAGACCAAGTGGGGCTCCTGCCTGAGTCGGTAATAGCTGTGAGACCCCTGTAGCCCTCCTAGCACCACTGGCTCTGGCCAGTCTGCATTTACCTGGGATTTGAAATAAGTCTCCTGAGGTGTGGCAAGAACGTCAGCAGATGCGATGTCCAGATGCATCAGCGTCTGTCGGAAAGAGGGGCGATTCCGGGGCTTGCTCTGCCTGAACGGAACAAAGTCAAGTCAAGGGGACATGTGACCCAGTTAAAAATCACACCACAAGAGAGTTTTACCCACTACTAGTACAATCAGCCCTATGGTTACTGCAGCTGGAAAAGATCAAAGCACAAGCATTCTTTCCCACCCCGTGTGTCTCCTCCGCTCTTGACAGCTTGCTGTGTCACAGCCCTTTCACTGTTGTGCTGTAGTCAGTCTACCCTATTTGTAAGTCTTCCCAATTTACAACCACAACAGGGCAGAGAGAATAGCTGTAAAATAGGGAATTGACACTGTATAATCACAACAGTCAACAGGGGGCTCAGAGCAAGTGTAGAAACTGAATCTACTCTAGCTCATTTGGCTTATGACCAGCCATTTTGACAGAAGCGTCTAGGTCCCCAGGAGATACATTTATTTCCGTGGGAAAAAAAAACTTGATTTCAAGCTTGAAGGTCTGACACACAGAAATGGGGGACGTGTCTGCACACCCACGCAGAGAGGCTGTGCGTCTAGGAAGAGGCATGCACTTTTAGCTAGTGAGCTACTCCTAGACAGTAGTGCTCCAAGAGCTGGTAGCTGCAGAGCCAGGAGATGAAGAAGAATTTGCCAGGATCATATTAATGGATCCACAGATTCCAGGGACCATTGTGATCATCTAGTCTGACCACCTGTATAACACAGGCCAGAGGCCTGCCCCGCATCAGTCTTAGGGCATTTTGTTAGAAAAACATCTACTCTTGATTTAAAAACTGCTGGGGATGGAGAAACCACCACTACCCTCGGGAAACTGTTCAATGGTTAATTACTCTCACTGTTAAAACATTCACAGCTTATTGTCTGAACGTGGCTGGCTCCAGCTTCCAGCACACCTTGGCCAAGTAACTTTTAACCTCCGACCCTAACCAGCTTGACCTCCCGGAGCCCATCACTTGTAAGGCAGGTTTGCTACTCCTTCACTCATCCTCCTGGCTCTTTCGAACCCACTCCAACTCGCCAACTTCCTGCTTGACTTTTGGGCACCAGACCTGGATGCAGCATTCCCGCAACAGTCACAATAGCGACAAATACAGAGGGAATAGAACCTCGCTGCTCCGACTTGAGATTCCCTTTGGCCACAGCATTGCAATGGGAGCTCCCGTCCTCCTCATACATCGAGAGCCGAATCTTTTCCAGAGTTACTGTATTCCAGTCCCCCATCCTGCAAGCGTGGCTCCTTCCAGCTTCCAATGCCAAGAGAAACCAGATCCTTCTGGCTGAGCCTGCCTCTGCCACCACGCAGGTCAAAATCTCCCCTTCTCTCACCACCTAGAACCACACTGAGGCTGGGACCTGGATTCCACCTCCCCTGCTCCTGTTGCTTCCAACTCTCCCTCCCTCTTCTGAGCAGCATTCCACTCAACTCTCCTGTCTTCCCACCCTCCATGCAGCTGTTACGTACCACCCACCTCATCCCCCACTGGATGGTTTTTAAACAGAGGACTTTCTCTGAGCTCCACCCTCCAGTCATTACTCTGCTGCCATTTCCACTGACCCCACTGGGAGTCTGGCAGAGCCAGATCTGCCTGGTCAAGCCCTAAGTCTTTGCCAGGGAGGTGGCTCTTACCACGTTTGCTTCATCAGGATTTTGAACCCATCCGGACAGGTGGATGGGACAGGAAGGTGCAGGCTGTTACTGCCCACTCCCCAGATGATAGCTGAGGAGTCTACATCCTTGTATGGAATCTCTCCCGTAAGCAGCTCCCACAAAACGACTCCAAATGACCTGTGTTAGAAACACAAGAACCAGCCTCCACAATGAGCGACACGTGTAGCGACAAAGTTATGTAACAGACTCCGAGACGTTCTGTGCAGTTAACAAAATGGGCAGCAGGTTCCCACCAATTTTAAATGGAAAATGGATTCAACAGTGACAACGTTCATATAATTAACTGGATAAGGGTGATCACAGTCTTCCGGTCTCCCTCTGACACTGTCCTAAGCACCAGTCGTTAATTCACAGCTGGATTGGTTCTCACATCCAATCTTACCGATTCCAGTAAACGAAGAGGCAAAGTTAGTTTTCCAAGCTGTAATCAGTGTTAATCCTAGTACAGCTCCTTTGCTCTGGGACAAAGTGAGAATGTATATGTATTCATGATAAGCCAGCTAACAGATTTCAATTGGTTTGGTTTTTTTTTAAGCAAACACTCCCTCTGCTGGTATGCTTGCTGCATTACTCATGCCCTCCGCAGACAAATCCTTCCAAAGCTAGTGAAACCCAAAGCAATAGGATTTATTACATACACAGCCACTGTGGACGTGCCATTATTTGGATATTTCACACTCCACTGGAGATTCCCTCTTGTCCCAATTTGAAAAAAGATGAACAAGAGCTTTGTTAAAATCAATCATAGCTGGAGAAGTCTAAAGAGGGTCTGTCCAGAGCAGGCAACCCACAATGCAAGAAATTAAAATTATAGGTAAGATGACAAAATCTGCCTCTCTCCTGTAGAGAATCTAAAGGTCCGGGGAGAAGTCAGAATTCACAAAGGGTAGCAAGGAATGACTACCATCTACCAACCAGAGAAAACGCATCATAAAAAAGCAAACTGATAGTACAAAGGCAAAAAAGAGGTGGCCAAGAACCAAAGAAAAGCATTCCCTGAATAACCACTTCAGAAGCTAGAATTAGCCTGAGGCGCAGAGATGTGGTTCTTGTGTTTAGTGAGTTTCAAAGTCCAAAGTAACTGCATCTCAGAAAGAACAGCATCTCTTTCTCTACATATCCTATTTCCCAGACCTGAAGAAGAGCTCTATGTAGGCTCAAAAGCTTGTCTCTCCCACCAACAGAAGCTAGTCCTATAAAAGAGATCATCTCACCCACCTTGCCTCTGTAATATCCTGGGACCAACACAGCTACAACAACATTACATGGAGCAAAAGAGCAGGATTTTGTGTTTGTTCACTGTTTTAATTTTTAACAGGGCAGGTTTTGGGGACTTCTGTGAAGGCCTGAGAGCCTTCAGCTCGAAACAGCATCAAACATCTTCGAAATAGACTATTTTTATTACCGTCAGTCACATTCCTCATTGTGGAGCATGTAATACTTACCAGAAACCCTGAGAATGGAGAGTCCAGCAGCGAGACCGCCCTTATGGTGAGGAAATGCAATAACATGGGAAGACCTGACTGGCTAACTGGGAAATGAAGGGATGTAATGAACATAACAGTACTGCTTACCAGATATCAACTTTTTCAGAGACGGGCTCATTGCGTATCACCTCTGGAGCCATCCAAGCCACGGTGCCCGCGAAGGACATTTTTGTACTTTTATCACTGAGTTCTTTAGATGTACCAAAATCTGAAATTTTTACTGCATCTGTATGAGTGACTAATACACTGGAGAAAGAGGGGGAAACACAAAAGGTATCAGCAATGAGAAAATGCTTTTCACTTCCATAGCAACTTTCAGAAGTGGATTTTAAAGTTCTTGGGCACTCGCTCACAAGGTACATACGATGCCTACTTTGTTGATGGGAGAAGTGAGGGGGTAGGAGTTGTTGTTCACCTGGCCCTAGCAGCCAGGAACTAAAGCCTGCGATTTTAAAATAATTTGATCAATACATGGAATTGATTTGCCAGTTTCAGTAAATTCTCTCCCTCTATTCAGAGTCACTTTTTCCTCATGCAACTCCAGCAGATCCCATTGTTCTACCAACAGGGAGCCACAATTACCCTTCCTTGCTTTGCATCATAAATGAGGTAGTATTGAAGTAGAGCAGATTGCTCTACTGATTTTAACATTTTTGCTTGTATGTCTCTAGCCCTACAGACTAAGGGCTCCTGGCTTCTATCACTACTAGAACCCACTGCCCCACGAGCTACAGAGTTCTGGAAGCAAAGCTCCTTCCTTTTGGAATACAGCTAAACTCCTATCTAAAGCCTCAATTTTAACCACACTCACTCAAGCCTGGAGTAGTGCAGTAACTGATGATAGCACATGCTCGGTTTCAAATCAGAACGGACTGTGGTGAGGCTGTTTGCCAGGTCAGAGCACAGGGTTAATACTACTGCAGCTTCACAAATGAGTTACCTCAACATTCTTTGATTCCCCCCTCCCCAAACTCTGATTCTAAATTCTAGGGGCCAAAGTTCATCCTGGTGTAAATGGACTGTAACAGAGTAATAACGGGGGAACATCAAGGCTGACTATATTTGGGGCATTTCAAACTCCTTGTAAATGCATGTTTTCATACAAAATGACTACTAAGATGAAGTAATTAGCCATCTACAGGTGTACACTATATACAGTATAATTAAAAGTAACAAGCACAGAACTACTTAAAACTATTCGTTGGGAAATGTATCTTGATATTCAGACTAGCAATAATAAAATAAATGAAAGAATAACAACCTCACTGCCCAAACAATACAGCATACCATTTAAAACGGATACAACAACAGACCCACAGTCCTATTGCATGCTGCAAACAGTGAAGGAAGGGAGAGACAATGTCCCGGGTGAATGAGATAAGGCAGCAGGTGCAAGAGAAGAGGAAGATAAATATTCAAGAGAGCAAGGGATGAGACCAGAACAAAACAGACACAAAGGACAGACAAAATAAAGAGCAGAAGGAGCCCGAGAGATTCACTTCTACAAAAGGTCAGAGCAGCCATCTCATTAGCAGCTCTGTTTCCCCTCTATTACTTTCCCACCTAAGCTATGCAGTTGCCCCAGAGATGTTATTCGAAGATAAATGGGAGCAGGGATGGTCCATCCAGTTAGAAACAGGTCAGAAGAGCCACAAGAAAACTCTCCGTAACAGGCCACACCAGGAGAAAAGTGAAGGGGCCCGGATCTAGCTCAATAGCCATTGCTGGAAGAATTCTCAAAGGTCTATTGTTTTACATTGTAAGCACCCAAGGACTCACTTTGGTGATTTGAGGTCTCGGTGGATGATTTTATGAAGGTGTAAATAGTTCATTCCACTCGCAATCCCTGTGGACCAGTCCACAAGCAGCCGAGGCGTGACTTTCCGACCTGCTCGCAGCACCTCATAGAGCTGTCCATGTGCGCAGTATTCCATGATAATACAGTAACACGGGGCTTGAGTGCAAACTCCCCTGGCAGAGAACACACACACACATACATTACTGCAAATCAAATCCAATGCTCAGCATCAAAGGGATTCTCAAACCCAGACACAGACCAGCATGCTCTTGCTGTCACCGTTACTGGATGCCCCCTGTGCACTGATTGTAATGGCAGGGAGCTGTAGGTGCTCTAGTATTGACCTTCCTTCTCCAGGGATACAGGCCTAGGAACACAGACAGTGCCACACCAGTCCTAATCACACCACGGAGCCCCCAGTTCAAGCAACGGCAGGGGCTTTCACTGCTACAAAGGAAAACAAACAGCATGCCTTAGTAAAGGACTGATCAGGAAGCACTCTGGACTACATTTCCTCCTCCTACCTTCCCATTAAAATAACAAAAAACAGCTCTCTCCCCAGTCAACAGGGCTTGCACTTTATTTTTAGAAGCTTCAGGGGGTAGCCGAGTAAGTGGGCTGTGCCCACGAAAGCTCATGATACCATCTACATGTTTCGTTAATCTATAAAGTGCTACCAGACCATTGTTACTTTATTTTTACTTTGGGCTTGTTTGTATTAGTTTACTGTGTCTCAGTAATATTTATTTTAGGGCATCTCTTGTCAGACACACATTGGAGGAACACGGCTTATGTTAATTGAACCACTGCTGTCTCCCTCAACTTGTCACCTAATTCATTTATTTGGTTGGGTGCTACTAAGTCACTCTGCAGAGCAGCTGCCACCGA